TACAACAAAAATAAAGCCAGGGCTTAATATTAATAGCACACAAAATGGAATTTAAGACCGAAAGAGTTCAATGGGATAAGAGAGTTATTTGGTCTTAATGAAAAATATAAAAATCAATAAAAATGTAAGAGTCCTGAAATATTATTTGCCAAAAATATACAATGCTGAGATAAATAAAGCACAGCTATTTGGAAGACGAAGAACAGTTGATACAATGTGGTGCTGTACTTCAGCAATATGTGACTTTCAGAATCCGACCAGTTAAACAGAAGTATGATACAGAAAGGTGAAATATTTTAATGCTTATATATAAGAACATAATTATATCTAATAGTTATAAATATATGTGTATAAATATGCATATATATTCCAAAAAATTTTATAAATGTTTTTGTTGTTTTTTAAAAGGAATTATTTATTTATTAATATTAATTAATTAATCTTCATTAATTAATTGATTTTTATTTATTATTATTTTAATTTGCCATAGGGCACATGCCCTCAGCTGAGAGAGACAGAGAGAGAGAGGGAAAGCGAGGAAGCAAGCTGCTAGGTCTGAGACTCAAACTGTTCAGCTTTATGGGAATCCAGCACCTTAACCATCACACCACCTGCGAGACCCCCAAAAAGAATACTGATTTTTAAGAAAATTTCCAGTGACACTTTATTACAGTAGTCTCACAAGTATTTATTCAGTTTCTGCCAAATGCCAGGCCTTAAGGTCAGGTAGAGGCTGACATTTGAATGGGCTAGTCACAACCTTGCCCCAAGGAGCTCATGTACCAGGCGCTGTTCTTGAAGGGCATGCCATAGAGGACCAGAGGGACAAAGGTCTCTGTTCTTAGGAAACTGACACTCCATAGGAGGACAGACATGATGAAGACACACAAGTGAAGAAGAAGGTCAAGTCAGAGTGATAGGAGAGGGTGCTATTTTAGGACTGGGGCTATGGAGAAGTCTTGCAGGAGTCAGATGCCATTTGAGCAGAGTCTGAGTGAAGGGAGGGTAAAAAGCAGGCAGGTGTTTGAGGAGGGGAGCTCCGGGCAAACACGATGGCATAGAGAGAGGCTCCCTATCTTTTGGGTCAGTTTTTTTCCCTCAACTTAAAGAATTTTTTTTTTAATTGAGCCTTTCATTTTTTGTCAGTCTTTATTATTTTCTTAAGGGTTTTTCGTTTTTGTTTTTGTTTTGACTGTATATAAATTTCTTTAATTTGTTTTTAATTTCTAAATCATTTATAATTACAATTTTCAGGCTAATTTTAAAAGAGCGTTTAAACGTTTTCTTGTGTGGTTAATTTATTTTTCCTACCTTTTTATTATGTTAAAGTGTCTTTGTGCTTTGAGCCAGAGAATGTAGGCCAAACCACTTCTTTGTCTTAAATTCCATGTATGTTTCCTTTGTGGCCCAGCACGTGACAAAATCCAGTTTAGTGCCTTCGCATTGCTAACCTCCATTGGCACCAGATTTTCATCCTACAAGTGGATATGAGGGGGTGGTGACCACTGGTGGCCCATCCTTTTCTCTTATCGATTGTATTAGTCAGAGTTCTTCAGAGCCAGTAGGATTCATGTAAATATACAGATATAGATATAAATAAATTTATTATAAGGAATTGGCTCCCAAGGTTGACAAGCCCCAGTATCTGCAACTGGCAAGGTGAGCACTGAGGAGAGGAGGGCAGTGACGAGCAATTCTGGTTCTGAGTTTGAAGACATAAGAGCCAGGAGAGCAGGTGGTGTAAGTTCTAGTCTGAAGGCCAGATCTTGGCTCAAAATTCAAGGAGAACTAGTTTTTCATGTAGGATCTAATAGCAGAAGAAAACCCAGTGTTCCAGCTCAGAGGAGACAAGGAGAGAGGGTGAAACAGGAGAGAGACAAGGAGAGAGGGTGAAAGAGAGAGGGAAAGTGAGAAATTCTCCCCCCCCCCCCCCCACTGTGGCCATCTGGGAGTCCAGAACCCTTAACCACCAGGCCACCTGGTTTAGTGCCTTCGCATTGCTAACCTCCATTGGCACCAGATTTTCATCCTACAAGTGGATATGAGGGGGTGGTGACCACTGGTGGCCCATCCTTTTCTCTTATCGATTGTATTAGTCAGAGTTCTTCAGAGCCAGTAGGATTCATGTAAATATACAGATATAGATATAAATAAATTTATTATAAGGAATTGGCTCCCAAGGTTGACAAGCCCCAGTATCTGCAACTGGCAAGGTGAGCACTGAGGAGAGGAGGGCAGTGACGAGCAATTCTGGTTCTGAGTTTGAAGACATAAGAGCCAGGAGAGCAGGTGGTGTAAGTTCTAGTCTGAAGGCCAGATCTTGGCTCAAAATTCAAGGAGAACTAGTTTTTCATGTAGGATCTAATAGCAGAAGAAAACCCAGTGTTCCAGCTCAGAGGAGTCAGGCGAAGAATTCCCTCTTAGTCAGTCTTTTTATTCTAGTCAGGTCTTCAACTGATGAGACAAGGCCCACACACATGAGGAAGGGTAATCTGCTTTAGTCAGTCCATTGATTCAAATGTTAATCTCACTCAGAGGATCTTAAAAATACACCCTGATTTATCTTTTTCTTTTCCTTCTATAGGGCATATGTGCTCACTAGAGTGAGACAGAGATGGGGGAGAGAACATGAAAATCACTCCCTATGGGGGGATGGTGATGCTGCAATTCCTTCTCTGTTCTCTTGGGATCTGGAGCACTCATGCACATGTACCTGGCATGAGTTTCAGGCCACCATGTCTGGGACTTGAACTGCAGAGATGGCCATGTGGGATTCAATCACCTTAAACTCCATGCACCTGCCAGGTCCACACCCTGAATGAATGTTTGACTGATGATCCTGGGACCCTGTGGCACAAAGTAACACATAAAAATTAACCATTGTATTCCTAGGGCTTTCCTCGAAGGTCTCAGACTGAATGTTGCTGCCTTCCAGAAACTTTTCTGATCCTACTCCTATGACCATGTTACGGACGCCAGCTGTGTGCTCAGATGGCATCCTGTTCATCTCCTATGTTGACACTTGTGTATTCTACTTTTGTTTACTTATCGAATGAACGAAAAGTAACTGAGCGTAAGATCCTATCCTGTTGTTCTGTCTCTGCTTTATTACCCTTTGCCTGACATACTCAAATGCTTTCACTTTTGCCTTCATCCTTCCTAAGAGCAGAGGCCTGTGTCTATCTTGTTGACTGCTGCATCTACTTCTAGAAGAGGGCCAGGAACATCATGAGTATCCAATTAATATGGATTTAATAGAATCCAGGAATAAATAAAAAATAACACATTAAAACTAAGTACAATTCATCACAGTCAATGCAATACAATGAATACGGGAAGTCTCCAAAAAGTTCGTGTAAAATATATATGATGAAAAAGCTATGCAAGGACTTAATTTTTTTTTCACTGAAATAAATTTCATTTTTACCTCCCATTTTCCATAAAGTTTTTGAAGTAATCTTATATAGAACATTCCAGAACATTCTAGAAAAACATAGAATCTATTAATGTAACTAGTATGTACAAGATTTTCAAAATAGGATTATTTTACTAGATGTCAAAAAAGTATTATCAAAAAAAAAGAAAAGAGAGAAAGAAAAGAAAGATGAACCTTTCTAATGTAGTATTGAAGAATTTTTTTAAAATAACAAAAGAACCAATGACCAAAACCATAGTAATGATGCCACATTGAAAGTCTTGCATTACAATAGGACAGAGTTCAGTGAATTATGGTCTGTAAGATCCAGCCGTGCCTGTCTTTTATTGTGGCTGCTCACACGCTGCAACAGTAGTGTTGAGTAGGTATGACAGAGATAGTATGATTTGCAAAGCTAAACATATTTACAACCTGACTTTTCACAGAAAATGCTTTCTGACCTCTGATAAACAGCAGCAACAACAAAAAACCACATTCATAGATTTTATCAACCTTATTTATTCTGAAATTTTCATTCAATGCAAAAAGACATGAAATAGAAATGAGGCATTAATTAATAGAAATAGAATTGTATTACTATTTTTAGCACCTTTCATTTTTGACTTAAGAAGTGTAAGAAGCTCAACTGGAAGATATTAGACCTTTTAGGAAAATTCCTAAAAGTAACCAGTTGCAAGATCATTAAAAATCCTTGCACTAAAGGAACAGATAAAATGAATTTGGAAATAATGGCACACGCCTGCCTCCAAGGATACACTGTCTTCATGGAATGTATACAGCTTTATTCAGAATAATAAAGATGTGAGTAGGTGAAGAGTAATAGTACATTCTTGGACCAGAAGATTCAATATTGTAAAGCTGTCAATTCTTTCAAAATGAATCTTCAGATGAAATGCAATTCCAACCAAAATGCCCCTGAGAAAAGAGAAGTTTTAAAAAACATTTGGTGTATATTAGAACCAATGAGGTCAGTCATTGCTTCCCCTGCCCCCACCCATTGCAATGGCTTAAAATAACAAAACTTTCTTACCTTTCCCCCCTTTTTTTAAAAAAAATATTTATTTCTTCGTGAGAGAAGAGCACTCCCAGGATGCTCCTCACTCTGTGATCCGCCCTCGGTCTCAGGCCAGCCTACACCATGGGCATGTCCATGCCTTTCCCATGTGGGCTCCGTTGCATTGTTGTTGTGCCACTACCTGACCCCCTCTCTATTTTTCTAAGCATGTGTATGGGAGAGAGACAGAGAGCGAATGGAAGGGAGAGAGTCAGATAGGTATTTTTGATTGTCTTGCCACATTATGATCTTCCTGTCCTAACCTCTGAGTTAACTAGGGCTACAGGCTCTTGCCAACACACCCGGCATGTTTCAGGTTGGGCCAGAAACAAACCCAGGCCTCCCACGTGGCCTTGGTGACCGTGCAGCAGCCCCCTTTCACCTGCACCATTATGCCTGGGCCACTGAACTTTCCATCTGATGTGTCCATGGCAGGCTGACTTCTTTTGGTTTCCTTACTCTGAAGTTCAGTCTGAAATAGGAGTCCCCATTTCAGATGTTGACAGGCAGAAAGACATCTCAAAGGGTCTCACCTTGATGATTAAATACTTTGGCTTAGAAATCACACGCATCGCGGAACCCATGAGAGATGACCAGAGCCAGTCAAAACACCTCATTCAGAGAGAAGGGGTAGTGGTGAGTCCTTCTCCTCTCTCAAAGAGTAGACAACTGGCTACAAGAGGCAACGGAGACTCCGCCTGTGGGGTGAGAGAAGGACACAGGAAGGCGGAGGCATTTGCTTCAGCAGATAAAAAGATTTAAGTTGCAATAATTAAAAGAGCATTATGTTATTTAATGGATGGACAGACCAATTAAGGCCACAGAACAGAAAGCCCTGAGACAAAACAACTTGGTAAGAATTTAGTCCATGATAAGCATGCCATTAATGAATTCATTATATATAATTTGTATTTAGTCATTAATATTCAATATAAAATTATATTAAAAAAATAAATAAAATTGTATTAAAGTAAAAAATACTCTGTAAGATACTGTGGTGGAGGATACATGCCATTTTACATTTGTTTAAACCTGTGAAAATGCACCACCAGAAATAAAATCTAATGTGAACTAAGGACTTTGCGTGATAAGGCAGCCTCATGGGTGGTAATGCAGGTACCCCTCTAGTGGGGGATGTCAGTAACAGACACCCTACGTGTGTGTGGAAAGGGAGTATATAAGGTATCTCTTACCTTCCGCTCAATTTGCTATGAAGCTGAAACTGGTCTAAAACGTTGTTGCTGGCCCAGCTGTGACCGTGTGTGCCAGCTGATGCTGCCACTCTGCAGAGCGAGGCCACCTGGGAGGTCTGGGTCTGATTCCCACCCCACCCGTAAAGTCAGGAATAGTGGCACATGCCTGTAGTCCTTGCTAGTCAGGAGGTTGAGGCCAGAGGATTGCAATACAGTAAGACCCTGCCTCCCCCCAACGCCCCCCCAAAAAAATGTCCTGGGAAAAAAGGCAGCAACACAAAAATAAAACAGTCACCAGTGTGAAGTGTGTATGTCAAATGGGAAAGGAAGACTGAATATTTCTAGAAACTTAAGAAAACTTTATTGTTTATTAATTACATTATTTAAAATAAGAAATCATTCCCCAGGGAAGATGGCCACACTTTAGTCACTTGTCCTCCATTTTTCTGTTGGGGTTTTGGGCATGCACATACATGTGCCTGGTGTGGTTTTCAAGCCGTTGGGTCTGGGACTCGAATCATTCAGTCAGTCATATGGGATCTAGTGTCTTAACTACCATGCCACTTGCTGGCCCTTACATTATTTTAGATAATGATTTTTCTGAATCTGTCTTTCTTCTTTTCTCTCTCTTTTTCCCTCTCTATCTGATAAAGGAAATACAAAAATAAGAAAGGAGAAATTTCTTTAGAAATTTCATGCCCCTTAGTTAGTTTCCACCTTATCCTAGGGATAGCCATTACTAAAGGATGCAGTTGAGACCTATTAAAGCTCTTGATTTTATCTGTAACTTTAAATTTTTTAAAAGTATATATAAAAGTTGGAATCCCGGTTTTTGCTAATAATAGGAGGAAGAATGATTCTGTTGATATTAAGAAATAAAAGTCAGGAGAGTTGACTTAAAGATTTGACTTTTACTACCTCTCTGCAGCTTTCTGCTGTGGTCTATGGAACTGATGCTATGGCAGATTTTAAAGACTATGTGAGAATTGTCTGTTTCCTCTCCTGTTGCATCTATTCTATCTGGGCAGAAAAAATAAAAAGGCTAAACTCAATATACAATGAAGAAGCCTACTCAGTTTTCTCTGATGAGAGAGCTGGCTTTTTGATACAATATCACAGAGCTATTAAGAAGGAGAAAAGTTAAAAATCATAGTTAAATGGGTAACAATAGCATAGTATTTTCTAAAACTGTTTTCTGCTTCTAACCAGGAAATTAAACAATTATTTTGCAGGTTTAGAGAGAACATAGGATATCAAAGAGACTTTGCACTTACATGGACAATGAGACCAGCTTGGAGGTGGCTGTGAGCTCTCTTTAGCTAGGGCAAGACCATGGTAGTCAAAGGGGCTATCAGTGGATTCAGGACAGACAGAAAGTGACCAAAAAAAAAAAAAAAAAAGTTAGTTAATCAAACAAAAATTGAAAAAGCAATGGCATTTATCAACCTCTCCCTAAGTGTTATGTGTCTTTTACATATTGCTTTATATTTTTCTAAAACTATTTTTCTGTAGGGGAGGCAAAATCCTACCTCCATCTTTTTAGGTTCCTGTCTGGGTCTGAGAATTACATTGACGCAAAACAGATTAACAGGAGAAAAGCATAGATATGTACTTAACACAAGTTTTACACGGCATGGGAACCCTAAGAGGGAAATGAATTTGAAAAAGCAGTCGGAGCCATTTATATATTGAATTGGACCAAGAATAGTAAGTAATGAAAATGTGACAGGGGAAGGATGATTGGGCTGGGTATTTAATTGGGAAGAGAAGGGACTAGGAAAATAAAGATCAGTTTAACAAGGTTTTGTTTTGTTTTTCTTTTAAATATGCTATCGGGCATGTGCACTTGTTGGAGAGAGACAGAAGGAAACGAGAAGAAAGGGAGAGTGAGAAAGCACCCTTCCCCCCAAGAAGGATGGCCACACCACAATTCCTTCTTCACTCTCCTATGGGATTTTTGGCACACACGCACATGCACCTGGCATGTTTTTCAAGGCACTGTTTGGGAAGTCAAGTAGCACAGTTGGCCATATGGGATCCTGCTGTCTTAATCACCATGCTACCAGCTGGCCCAGTAAGATTTATTTGTTCAGAATTCCTTTGGCTTCTACTTTCTCATCCTTTGAAAGAATGTTGCCCTTTTTTTTGTTTCTCCCAGGAGAGAGAGAACACCTTTCACTTAGGAATTTTGTCTTCTACTTTAAAAAGTTTATGTATTTCTTCCATGAAAAGAGAGAGAGAGACAGAGGCAGAGATAGACTGAGACAGAGACATGCACCTCCAACAAGGTCCTTATATCCTGATCCACCCCCAGCCTCAGCCAGTCCAGGTCAGAAACACACATGTGCATGTACCCAGAGAACACAGGGAGGCCTCAGGATGGAAACCCAGAACTATCCCACCTGGGTCCAGATGCTTTACCACCACACCATCATCTGGCCCCTACTTTTAATAATCAGCTCAAAGGTCATAGTGATCTTCCTACACTGGCTGTTTTTCAAGTTCCTTTAACTTAAACAATTAATAGGCCAGAGTGTATATTTTTAAATTTTGTAGTAGTTGACGTTGAGCTCATATGTTATACTCATTTTGGAAGTGATGGTGAATTATATCTGATTAGATTTTCTTTTCTAGTTTAAATATAACACACATATAGAAAAGTATGTATGTGTGTTACAAGTGTATAGCTTGATGAGTTACCAGAAAGTGAGCACATCTGAATGAGCACCATCCAGGGCATTATTGGCACTACAAAAGACCCTTTGTACTTCATCCAGCTACTGTCTACTCCCTACTTTCCATTTTATGTAATTTTTTAAAAGAAATATTTATTCATTTAATTCCATTTGTTATTATTATTTTTTAAAAATTGACCAGCGAGAGAGAGAGAAAGGGATAGCAAGAAAGAAAGCTGCCAGGTCCAAGATTCGAACTGCAATCCGTCATGTGGGAATCCAGGGCTTTAACCACCATGCCACTTGTAGGGCCCTCCATTATATGTTATTGATTCAGCCTGTTTTTGAACTTTTTAAAAGTGGGATCATCCAATATACATGTTTTGTTTTGCTTTCAGGTTTTTGCTGTAGAGGCAAAGACAGAGAGAAGGAAAGTGAGAAGCCATCCTCCAGGGAGATGACCATGCCACAATCCCTTCTCCATCACTCTCCTGGGATTTTGGGCACACATGCATATGTGCTTGGCATGAGTTTCAAGCTACTGGGTCCAGAACTTGAACTGCAGTCAGTCATGTGGGAGCCTACCGCCTTGACCACCACACCACCTGCTGGCCCCATGGTTTTTTTGACTAGATTCTTCTTGCTCAACATTGTTGTAAGAGTAATCCATGTTGCATGTAGAAATTGATCATTTATTTTCACCATTGTATAGTTCTCCAAAGAATGAATGAACTGCAGTTGATTTATTTATATTATTGCCACTAGAATTAGGATGTGAGCCATTTCTATTTTTTTAAATTTTATTTATTCATTCATTTATTTTTTATTTGATCAGAGAGAGACACAGAAAGAGAGAATGGGAAAGTGAGAAAGCAAGCCACCAGGTCTGGGACTCGAACCGTGGTTAGCCATGTGGGAGTATCCAGCACCTTAACCACCACACCACCTGCTGGTCCCAGCCATTTCTATGCTTTGACTGTGCAAATAATGCTGCTATCCTTGTGTATTCATTTCGGTGCACAAGTCTGTGATGTATACCTGTTGGTTATATAATGAGCAGAATTATTGTGTCCCACGTCATACATAAAGTCAATTTCAGCAGTTAATGCTAAAAGAGCTTCTAAAATTGTTGCTCCAACTTTGCATTTCCAAAAGCTGTGTATGGAAGTTTTTGTTGCTTCACCTTATTGCTAGAACTTGGCAATAATAATCTTTATGGTGAGTGTGAGGTGATAATTCCTTATAGTTTGACTTTTCATTTCCCTTAGGAAAAATGGCAAGGAGCACCATTATTTATGTTTATTACCCACTTAAATTTACCTTGCCAAATTGCTCTTAAAGTTTATTGCCTAATTTTCCTTTGGGTTCTCTGTCTTTTCTTATTGATTTGTAAGAGTTCTTCATGTATCGGAGTATAATCTTTGTGTTTTATAACTACACCTGTCTTTCTATCATCTCTCTACTTACCCGTCGATCAATCTATAGTTTCCTTCCACTTGAAATATCTCCATGGCACTGGTAGCTGCTGACGGTGCAAAGAATAATGAAAATCATAATGATCCAATAAACGATGAACTTCACAGGAGAAATGTTTCATTGAGCAAATACTAGTCATTCCTTTCCATTTTTAAAAGTTCCAAAGGAAATGCCCCCTTTCTGAATCCCATTCTCTAGTTCAAGTTGTGTATTTCAAAAGACGACAGAGAGTTTTAACCCTGGGGAGTACGATGGGACTCCCATTTTTTTTTTTTTTTTAAATAGCAAGAACCCATAATGCCTGATCGTTCTGGTCACGAATTTTCGGGCTTCTGCCTCTCTGCACACTCAAGGTTAAGTGAATAAAATGTTTGTGCAGGTCTAAGGCTCCATCTGTTCCCTCTCCTGCTACAGGAGAGGACACAGTAAATACCTCGCCCTGCAGGCTCCACCTCATCATGCTTTACTAATCACCCTTCCCCTCTAGCTACCAGCTGTCCTGGCTCCAACTCAAAGACCTGAGTGAAAACCTTCAGGGAAAGGTGAAATCCGTCATTAGAGCCTCCACAAGTCCCAACCCTTGTTGCTGCACTCCTTGCCTGAGATTTCCCTGTGAGGGCATAAGTGGGATGCCAAATGGTTCTCTTATCCTGTGCCCACAGATGTCAAGGAGGCCCATAGCTCTATCCATGGAATCCCCAAGGTGGAAGAGACCTGAGAGACGGTGCTCTGACCTCAGTGTTTTTCAGATGAAGATACTGAGTCAGACGGAAGGAAGTGTCTGGGGATGCATGTGACTTCATGACAATGGCGGAATAGAGCTAGGCCCCTGCTCCTCGCTTGCTCTAGTGTGCACGCAGCAGCCATCCTGCCTTACTTCTGTCTTCTCGCCTGTCACTTTGTAGCCCTGGTGTTTGCCTCGGTTTCAAATCAAAACCACACACTTGTTGTAAAGTGTTTTCAAAGCTGATTACCATGCCGTTACACATGGAACAGTTCCTCCCATGGCGGGACCCCTGTTTGTCAGGCACTGGAGGCAGCCACCCAGAATGCATCAAAGCTGGAATGACTTGTGATGGGAGGCATTCTTGGTTGAAAACGACTCCTCTCCAAGACATGTGGCCCCCAGAAGTGTATGCTGAAGGTTGATTCTGAAACACAAGGAATGTTTCTTTTCTTCCAAATGCATAGCCAATTTGCAGGAGTTTATGGAAAGAGCTCTCAAGCTGACCGAATATCAGCATGATTGGCTACATTGAGGGGCGTGAGGAAGAGCATCCAGGAAATCAAAGCCCAGGAAATCTCCTCGCCTTGATTAGTGTGAAAAAGTTTGTCCTTCCCTGGCCAATATTTGGTGGACCAATAAATCTGGAAAGGACAGTGAACCCCACTGCTCTTTTTTCCAGTTACACCAGCCAAAGCCCAAGGGCAGGTGACTTTTGGTGATTGACTTGGGACCAATATCTTTTCATTCTATTTGTGTGAAAAGTAAAAAGTTCCTATAAAAAAGACATTGTGTTATTCACAGGCTTAAATTGTCACCTGTTGTAATAAAATTAAGATGCTTTAAAATCCCATCAACTACTTTTTTTTTAAAGGTAAAGTCTCACATATTTTCTGAATAGGGCGAATCTGATATTACAAATTTCCTGAACAAAAAGCAGATCCTATGTGGTTTTTGAGGAGTTTTCTGCTTGCCTTAAAACGCCAAAGGAAAAACACACAAAAAAGGAAGAAAATGTAGTTAAGCAAAAGACACAAAACATTTAAGGGACACAAAAATAGAAAAGTATCTGTTGATGAGAATGTGAATGATGATATCTTTAACTGGGCTAATAGACAGTATATTCATGCTGGGAAAATTCATTTTGCAAGCTGTAATGATATACAGTGATTGAATGGATAAGAAATGTTTTTATCTGTTTTTTGGAGAGGTTTTTGCTATAGGGCACGTGCTCTCACCACACAGAGAGAGACAGAGAGACAGAAAGCGAGAAATCACCCCCCCCCAGGGGGGATAGCCACGCCGCAATCCCTTCTCCTCCATTCTCCTCTCAGGATCTTGGGCATGCACGCACATGTGCCCGGCGTGACTTTTAAGCCACCGGGTCCGGGACGCGAACCGCGGTCGACTACGTGGGAGTCCAGCGACATAGCCATTACGCTAACTGCTGGTCCCGTAAGAAATGTTTTTAATAAGTCTAAACAAAAAACATGTTTCTTGGCACCATTGTTTACTTTTCTACCTTAAGAAAAATAATATAGTATGTACAAAGATTATCACCAAAGAAAGTACCCTAAATTCTTAAGAAATGGACAGCAACATTAAAATAAATTAACTCATTTTCTTTCTCCCAAAGAGCTTTACATGTCACCATTCCAGATAAATTCATACTTTCTCTATTCTTAAAATTCTTCAGAGAGGGCAATTTTTTAAAACAATTTCTTTTAGAGATTTTTGCTATGGGGCATATATGCTCACCAGAGAGACAGAAAATAAGCAATCACCCCCTGGGGGAATGGATATGCTTCAATCCCTTCTCCTCCATTCTCTTCTCAGGATTTTGGGTCCAGCGTGAGTTTCAAGCCACCTAGTTTGGGATTTGCACCATGGTCATGTGGGAGTCCAGAGATGTAACCATTATGACATCTGTGGGTCTCAGAGAGGGCAATTGTTAATGAACAATGCAGAATTCTAGATTTCTAGAGTTTTCCCCTTATTGTAAAAGCAAAATCAAACTCCAAGGACTCTAGGGTCTCCCACTGAGATTCCTATGGTCTCCCCTTCTGTGACTCGAACTGTGGTCAGCCATGTGAGAGTCCAGTGACGTAACTACTCCACCATCTGCTGGTCTCGATAGACTCATCTCGATTACTCCTCTTTTCCTAGCACTTCCCCTTCCCTGTTGCCCACTCTGTTGCCGCTAGTTCTGAAATACATCTTGACTGTGTCCATTTCTTTCTCTCCCCCTCATCTGAGCCATCGATCCATTTAGTCCAAGCCACTCTTCATCCATCTCTCACTTTCATGTCTATAGGAGCTTCTCAACTGGTCTCTCTCTATGACCCCAAAGTCTATTCTTCACACTGCAGACTCAAAGACTTTTTTCAAAACGTAACTCATGGGTTGACACTGTAGCCCAGTGATTAAGGCAGCCGGATCCCACATGACTGAATACAGTCTGATGCTTGACCCTGGGGGGCTTGAACAAACATATTGGCTATGTGAACATGCATGCCTCATATTCCAACAGGATGAAGAGATGGAGAAGGAATGAAGGCTTGACTGTGCCCCCTAGGGGTTGCTTTCTCTCTCTTTCTTTATGTCTCTCTCTCTCTCTCTGGTGAGTACACACATCCTCTGACAGTAAACAAATAAAACAAATAACAACCAAAAAAAAATTCACAACTTGCCCTGTAGCCTGGTGATTAAGGAAATGCGTGTATGTGTGTGTGTGTGTGTGTGTGTGTGTGTGTACCCAAATCCCAATAGGATGGAGAAGAAGGTGTTTTTTTGTTTGTTTGTTTGTTTGTTTGTTTGTTTTTTTCTTCTCTATTTCATCAGGGTTTTGGACAAACTAACTTTTTTTTTAAGTTGCTGGGTTTGGGGTTTGAACCAAGGGCAGCCACGTAGGGATCCAGCACTTAATCACTGTGCTATGAGGCTGGCCCAGCTCATACTAAGCATTTTATATGTGAAAGCAATTTGACCAAGCAACGTTTAAGTGGCACAGAGGAGACTGACAATCAGGGCCTTGTCCAGAACCTGGACCAAAGCCACTCAGCTATGCTGACGGAACGAGTCATGTTCAGGTAGCTTTTATCTGACACTCCCACCCCAACTTTGTTTTTGGAGATGGGAGAAGAAGAGCTCACTAGGAATTACAAAATACAATGGCAAGTGTTCCTCTGAGGACTTCACGGTGAAGCAAGACCCTGTGGTGTTACACATGAGTTCCTCACTCTGGCCTCTCAGCTCATGGTAAGTTCTGCCCTTCATCCAGCTTTCCCACCTCTGTTGACGGCCATCTTCTAGGGGAGCAGTGGACCAGGGAAGGACGAGGAGCCAGAAGGGGTGGGGTCTGCCAGGAACTACAGTGGAATCATGGGCCTTACTTTCCTCCTCTCTAAAATGCCAGCAATGATCTCCAAGGTCCCTTTCTAGGTTTACGATACTGTGGCTCAGAAGGTGTTTTACATAAGCCTCGACTGAGGAGTTTTTCCAGGACCTTTTCTGGCCTGTTTCCTTTCTGTCCACTTACTCATTTCACAGGTTTTACATGTCAAGGTTAGAACAACAATCGTAAAACAGACCAGACAAATTCTTCTCGTGCCAAGGCATTTGACAGAGCTGGCACCGGCTCGGGAACTTTTCCCTTCTGCCTGTATTCGTTCATTCACACATTTATCTAACAAATAATTACCGAGCACGTCCTATCCTGCTACACGGTAAGCCCTATGTCAAGCTTTGTGGTTCTACACAGTCTAGCCCCTCATGAAACGAATACAAATATGGTTATTTATGGATTATTATTATTTTTACATTTGCTCTCTTAGCACATGCACTCATCAGACAGAAACAGTGAGAGAGAGGGAGGAAAAGTGAGAAAGCACGCCCCTCTAGGGGACGGTTTTGCTGCAATCCCTTCTCTTCCATTCTCTTATTGGGATTTTGGGCATACACACACACACATAGCTAGTGTGTTTTTAAAGCCACCAGGTCTGGGACTCGAACTGTATAGTCAGCCATGTAGATCCAAACCCTTAACCACCATACCACAGGCTGATCCAAGATATTGATAAATAGAAAATCACACAAATAGATGGAAGATTCTAGCAGGAGCATGTACACTGTACATAGTACAAAGGATACGGTGATAGAAGGAAAAAAACCTATTAGAGGAGGGCACCTTCACTGGGAAAGTCGGCGGAGCTTTCCTGAAGAGATATAAAATGAACTCTAAGTGATGAGTGGGTTTACTACAAGGGGGTGGCCAGGGTGTTCCAGGCAAGAGGAACGACACGTGCAAAGGTCCTGGGCACAGGGTCGCCTATCCCAGGACTAACAGACTGGCGTGACTGTTGTGCAGAGGGCAGAGACTTAGAGACGGCAGAGGTGCAGCGGCTCAGCAGCAGCAGGGTGCTGCTGCAGAGCTGGGGCCACGTGGAAGATCAAGGTCAGGTTCCCAGGCTGACCGACAGGCTGACTGTGCCTGCCTGTAACACCAGCTGGCTGGGAAGGCTTCGGGGAGGGAGGCAGTGTGACCTCTTGTTGAGAATACCTCTCTCTGTCTAAAGAAATACACAAACAAAACAGAAACACATTTATTTAAAAACAAAATGGAATGAGAAGGGAGAGAAAACGTCCCTAAAAAGAAGGGGATGGAGCTGAGATCTGCCTGAAAAGACGTCAGTGGGCCACGGCATCTTGATCTCCCATAGACTACTTCTGCCCGGTTGCAGCTCCTCAGGTATGGTTCTTCCTTTAGCAGCTGAAAAAGTGCAAGCTTTAGCTGAGAGAGGGGGCAATTCAAATCCACAAGGAGGACCGGTGGTAGTATAGTGGTAACACCACTGGGCCCACTAAGAAAGGCCCCGGGTTCGTGTCCCGGGATCTCGCTGAGTACACCAAGTACAGTCACGAGTCAGAGATCCAGGCTGACTGAGGCTAGGGGTAGAGAGAGGCATGTAGACCCTATTGGGACTCTCTGTCTCTTTCCTCTATGTCTCTCCGTCGCTTTCTCTCTCATTAAATAAATAAATAGGAAAAAAAATTCGTAAGGATTTTTCATTTTTAGGAACCAGCAGTTACCGTAATGGCTGTGTCGCTGGACTCCCATGTAGTTGATCGTGGTTCGCGTCCCAGACCCGGTGGCTTAAAAAAACCTCACGCCGGGCGCGTGTACGTGCATGCCCAAGATCCCAAGAGGAGAATGGAGGAGAGGGGATTGTGGCGTGACCATCCCCCCTGGGGGGTGATTTCTCGCTTTCTGTCTCTCTGTCTCTCTCTGGCTGGCTGGCGAGCACATGCGCCCTATAGCAAAAACCTCTTAAAAAAAAAAAAAGGATTTTTCATCTTTTCTGGGGCCGCTGTGCTAGAGCCATTTCTTTGAAATCAAGAAGCAAGTCTCCATCAGCTGCCTTAACCAGTGCCAAGGCCTGGAGTAAGATGCATTCTTGTCCTGCCCTGGGCAGTTCAGACCACAGAGGACAGCTGTGTGTGTTCTGGCAGACTTCCTGCTCTGATCAGCCAAATGAAGATGTACAGAGTGGATGCAAAGCATTTGCAAGGAAGAGGAAACCAGAAGATCAGAGATGCCAAAAGCCAGAAGGCATGCATGGCCTTCCCCTTTTTCTGACAGATACCTCCAAGTTGGTTTTCCTCTGCAGAAATAACACAATCAACTGAGGCCATAAGTTCCAGAATAAAGTTTAGGAACAATAAGTGGAGGTGATTCAAAATCGGAATACCCATTCTTCCCCAATTCCCTGTGATTTGCACAGGATCCAAATGACTTTCTCCTCATTAGTTCCTAAATGGAAAGTGTTGCCTTGGTTGCAAGGAAGAGAGTTAATGTGTATTAACTGAATTCTGCTTCCTAGATGCCAAGTGGCCCCACAAGCTTGAAAGAAACTACCTACTTTATAGACCCTCTATAATCACCCACTGCAGAGGAGATAATTGAGGGTGTTACTGGGGACATCTAAGCAAAAGAGCCCCTCTGCTTCTATCACTGGGAAATCTAAGATGCAAGGCAGGTCACCCCTGTGGCGAAGCATGACTGTTAGTGAGTTAAATAAACATTAACACCTCCCCGCCCCCAAGAACCTGCTCCACAGTTTCTGTTAGGAGTCTGGCATATTTTTTTTTTCCCCCTTTACTCAAAGAGCTCAAAATTGGCTTAAGTAGAGTTTAATTGAAAAAGTTCACCTCAGGGGTGTGATGAAGGCTGGAAAATTTTAGCCAATAGGGAAATTTTTATAAAATTATGACCGAGTGGAAATAGTGTTATAATGGAAGTCTGTGTGTAATGGGCACTATTAAAATTATATATGTACATATTCAAGCAACAACAGGTAAGTGAGTTACAAGGTTATGATTCGGAGACGGGTTTCTGGTGGTGTTATAAGCTACAGGCGCAAAGCTTGAGACATCCAAATTCCTAAATAGAATTACAGATAGATTCTAAAATATTCCTGCCACAATTGTACACCAGGCATGGCTAGGACTGTTTCGTGCATGGGCTTTGCCTGTGCAGTAATGGCTAATCTGATTTGCATGTAATGGAATCAGGATGTTCAAGGAGGAAGAGCTTTCTGATTTCCTGGTTTGTCTTCACCCCTAACTTCACAAGGAAAACACATGTGAAAAACAGCAATACTTCAAATACTGGCTGCCAGAGAGGTTAGCTGACTGGTGGCTACGAAGCGTCAGGATGGAAATTATTTTAAAGACTCTTTTTCTGTATTCATGGTAGGAGTGAGGGCATGTACACCTGACAGAGGAGGGAGGGAGA